CCCTATATGACTATATCCAAAATCCAAAAATTCGAAATTACTGATGCAAATAAAATTCCAACAAATCTCTTCTGAAATTCAAGAAACCAATTCCAATCAAAGCCCAAATAAATTTAATAAACAAAAAAAAACCCTTTCTTATAGTGCTTTGTTACTTTAGACCTACAACTACAAGATACACAACTTTAGTCCAAGACATCCTAATTCATAGAAGCGACATGATTGACTTCTCAAAGCATCAGCTACAGTAACTAGACCTACCTTCAACCACTTTGTGACCATGAAATAACACATAAGTTCCAGCAAGAGAATTACTAAAACTAAAGGGCAAAATAAATATTTACTATTACTATTGCATGCCCCCAAAAAATTATATGCAAATATTCTACTACGATTGCAAGTTCCATCACCTTTTTCAATGCAACCCTGAAATTTCTTCAAGTTTCCGGGGGAAAAAAAATTCAACCCCAAAAAAAGGCCCAAATAATTGCTTAGCTACAATGATAAGAAAAAATATTACTTTCGCTGGACCGGAAAGAATCAAAACACCAAAATCTTTGGAAATTTGCTACTGGCCAAAACGTGGGTGATTTGGACTGAACAAATAGTTCTTGTACTTAAAAGACAGATTTTAACCATAGTGTGGAAGATAGTGACTTTGGGCTTCCTTACGGCTTTGATATAAAAAATCACTTTAGCGTCCCAATTATGTTAATTACATAAATTTGTACTATAGTTTCTTCAAATGACAATTGCAAGACGTAGCCCTTAACCCATGCAAACCTCTCCTGTTCTGCACCTTTTCCAAAGATAATGGAGAGGCTATTTCAAACCATTTAAGGCTGCAAAGTCAAGGTGAGGCCATCGATAGAATAATGAAAGTGAGCTTGAAGGTCATTAGAGGGCAAAAGTGGACTCCGAAGCCAGATGAACCTATGGTGTGCGATATCTTCCCTTTGCATTTCTTCGGTCATGCATCTTTAATTTGAGCTAAACTGGACAGTTAAAGAGCAAGGAGAATTAATGAACGGCAAGGAAGATGGGGACCACGAACCCTATAACATGCTGATGAAGCAAACAAATAGAAGCCCACTGAAAAGAAATTATCACCCATATATTGGAAACTTTTCAATGTATATTTTCATCCTCGATATTATATGCAAACATCAGAGAGCGTTTGGCTCCATAATTGGATGATTAAATAAAACTTTCAGGTGAGATTCCATTTCTATCGGATAAAAAGCACAACACTAAGCAAATCACATGGACTAGGCTGTACCCCCTTTTTATGTCATGTGTTGGATTACTGTTTTGTTTTTCAATAAAAGAAGGATAAATTACATTCAGATCCCCCAAGTTTTGTCACTTAATTACATAGACCCCCTCATGTTTGAAATCCTATACTAACCTCCCCTATTAATAACCGTGAGCTAATAAACCTAACAAAAACCATAAAATAACACTTATACCATTAATAGAAAATGAAGAAAAAACAATCTCAACCCATTAAACCGGAATCCAACCCGAATTCAAACTCAATCCAAATACGAACCCTAGCCCAACATGTATGCCCTCCCCCTCTTCTCCCCCCTCTCTCTCTCTCTCTGGCTTAAACACCACTGTCATCACCCTCTAGCCACCCCATTTCTCTCCTTTTCCATCCATGGCTCCACCCCCTCCTACCTGTCTCACCATCTGCAACTCTACAGCCGCTGCCCACCATCTGTCAAACCTTTTTTTTGTCTCTTTTCCTCCATGGCTCCACTAATTCACTGCCTCTCCAACCATATCCAACTGATTTATGAAAATTGGAGATGGAAGTGACTACTCTAGGTGCAAAGAATGGGTTGGTTTGGGATTGGGGGTTGTGATTTCGACGATGGTGTCTGGGTGGCTAGGGGCTTTGCAATACTTCTTAGCACAATCTCCTCCTTCCACTCAATTTCTGTTAACCACTAGCACCACCGTAGGCCACCACTAACCCATCACAAGAACCCATATGAGAGAAAAACCTAAAGGACAAGAGAATTGCAATCCCTTAAACAGAGCCCTAAAGCTCAAAAAATTTGATGTCAAAAAATTTCTAATGTTCTACGAATTTGATCACCTTTAACCCCAACCTCATGTGATCACATGATTTATGTGTGCATGTGTGTGTTAGAGATGATTCAATGGAAGTGGAGGTGGCATTTGCGGGTGTCGGGCACGGTGGGTTTGAAGCAGTTGGTCATGGGTGGTGGTGGTAATGGGTTGTGATTAAGGTTGGTTGGTGGTGGTTGTGGCGGTGAGTTTGATATCTCTCTCCTCCATTCCTACAATTGACTAAGTTATTGTTTGTAGGTTGAGGGTTGTCACAAGTTATAGTAGCTCATTTTTTGTTTGTTGTTTGCAAATATGGTGGTGGTAATTTAGGCCAATGGTTATACTGTGCTTGGTTGCATCAATGTTACAGAGTGGGTTGCATCGGTGGTAACGGTGGGGATCAGTGGTGGCAGTTGTTATGATGGGGATCAATGGTGGGAACTTGGTGAAGGTATGGTTCTAAGAGAAAGATGAGTCGAGTGGGGGTTATATATAGCGGCCCACCCCATGCGATACATGGGACTATAATTTGTGTGTCAAACAATTATATAAAATTTTTGAACGAAATAGTGATTTTTTGAGTAAATTTTAGTTATTGAAGAGTTGAGTGGTAGTTACAAAAGACACATGGTAGCGTCTAATTGGACGGAACCATAGGTTTTGAATTAAAAAATGCTGAATTCTAAGAATTTAGAAAATAAGGAGGGAAAATACTACACTTCACAGGAAGGATCTTTTCACTCAATAATACATGAGGAATCGCGCGTTAGACTTGGAGAAGGGTGAATAGGTTAATTAAAATTTAAGCTCGAATGGCTACCAATTTTAATCTATATCTACCACAATTATCTCGTTACACAATGAAATGAGAACCCCTTTTCAACAACCACTACCCAGAACACCATGTAGATTAGTGTATTGATTTTATTAATTTGTTGATTAATACTTAATCTTACAAGGTGATCCCAACCAAAGCAACCCAAACCCAATCACGAACCTATATACAATATGTAGATTGAAACAATCAATTCATTAAACACATAGTACTCGTGTGTGCATCAAATCACAAGTATATATGAAAAAATAATAAATAACACAAGTGATTTGTTGACTCAAAAACCCTTCTCATTAAAAACTATTGGAAACCACTCTAGGCTTCACCAAAGCCTAATCCACTAATCCAGAGTCAATCACAGTAGTGTACTGGCTTGTGGCACCCTAGACCTGTTGGCACCACACATCTACCACCTTATCTGCCACCAAAAATGATACCGGGAATAAGGTGGCATAATAAGCAATTCCACCATAAGATTGGTTTATTCATTTTTGCGCCTCCCTCTCTTCTCATCATCATGTTTAAGAATAATTGGTGCATCTTTTACGACAAAAGCAACAACACATCTCTGTTGACGTCTCTACCCCAAGAATGCGTTAACGCATTACATGCATTAGTTTCTTTGTTTTTGTGATGTTGTTAAGGAATGCGGTATACTTAAAGGAATCAGATTTCAAAAAAAAAAAACATTAGACCAAAAGAAAGCGATAAAGTTGATCAGCTCCCTAAAATGTCATATTTATATTGAAAATTGAACTACGACAAATTCTAATTACATAACTGAATCTTACATGTACCTTGGCAACATCTCGATTGAGATTCTTTGTCAAATAATAAAACATTCTCTTTTAACAATCTCTCTAGCAACACATAAGCACCACATCTTAAAAATGAATTAAATGAAGTTTAATTAACCCCACTTTTCCATTTGAAGGTTATCTTCTCTTTTTCACATAAACAATGGAGGAAACTCATAAGCCGACCATCGAATACAAGTCAATAGAAATCACAGAATTCATTCAATAAAGCTTAGAAAATAAAATTAAGACAAAAGTCAGCACTCTAACAACCGCCGTTCATGAAATTGAAATTAGAACAAAAATTGTTGTGTAGAAGGTGATAAACCTGTACTTAAACAATAGAGTTTTAGACAGGTCAATCTATTTAATCAGTTAGCACCCTCGTTATCTAGAACACTGCCTTATGGGTGCCTCCTCTTCAATCTCTTCTTCCATTGAAAATTTTAGGGAAAAAATGGAAAAACAAATTGAAAATCAGAGCATGTGCGTTTTATAGAAAAGATGTGTAGCTGAGTTACCTGAGAAAAAAAGGAGTTACATGAGCTCTCACAAGTCAGAGTTGGTAAGGTTCTTCTTTCTCCTTTGTCTTCCAAAATCAAGATTTTTATTCCTTGAATTCTTACAATTAGTCTAACGCTTTGTGTATTTTTTTTGGGTATTTAACATTATTCCATGAGGCAATGAACAATGTTATTTGTATATAACATACCCACATTGAATTTTGATCTTATTTGAATGCAAGAGAGATGAGGAGATCAAAAGTCATTTACGTTTCTTTTGCTATGGAATAATGTTTGTATCAATCCTAGAATTTGTAGTGTCATAAGTTTTAATGATTATTGGTTGTATTCAACTCTAGGATGTGGAGTGTCTCCTTTATAGTTAATAATGTGAAACACAAGACGGAGGGGTTATAGATTATTTAGCTGTAATTTGATAACTCATTTATTTTAAAGTATATAATTGTCCTAATTGAATTGTTTTAGGGTAGAAATGGAAAACAAAAGTTTTCCAAGTTTGTTCACATTTTATAGTAGTATAGATTACCAAATGTTAGGTCTATACCTAGTCTACTCCTCCCAGTACTCTTGGATACGGGGACCAAGCTTGGCGACGACCCCATGAGCCCATATATACAAGGACATGTTGCATCACCCTTCTACATTAATCAAATGCTACCATAAAGAGCATCAAAAGAAGTTCTTCAGTGCATTATATCGATCTACCTCAAACTAAGTTCTAACAAACTAAGCCACGTGATCAAACATATAATAAATTAACCATCAAATAGAAGGTACTAAGAAGAATTCAATACCAGATGGAAATATAGTTCCTGTCAAGGAGCAGAACTGTACTATGAGCTTTCGAGCAGAAACTGCTATAGGACAGTCCAGCCAGTAACCTTCCCGAGAAAACTTCTGTCTCAGTGCACCATAAAAGTTCAAAAGCCAGCCAATATGACCACTTGAAATCAGAACATCATGCCAAGAAGGACCAGGCTACAAGCAGCAAGAAAAGAGAAACAAATAGAGTTATGAAGCTCACCAAGGAAAATAATCAGAAACTGAAGAGGTAAAAAGTTGATGAAAATTTAACAAAACATTTGTATGTTGTAAAAGCATCAGCATTACCGATTGCAAAAGAGAACAAAGTTGTTACCTGCACTAAGGTACATTCAGCCCTCAGTGAGTTACTATCTTGTCGAACTCCGGCAGAAAAACATCTATGCTGTTTTTCACCCCGACCACTCTATTTGTGGTGTAACGGAATTCCCAGTTCAGGATTTGAAGCATAAGACGTAGTGCTGCGGAACATACTCTAACCTCCAGTTCAGCAGAATCCGACTCAATTATTCTGCTTGTGACACTTAGAGCAGCCTCTTGTGCCCAACAATAGAATGCCTGCGAATTGAGTAAGATACATAAAATACGTATAAATAAGATTCAAAGTAAAAGACTGAAAAGTATATCATATTTTGAGATTATAAGAAAAGGGAGTATCAAAAACTTGGCCATGCTGCAAGGAATACTAGACGGAAAAGGTTAAAAAACATTAAAAAAAATTAAAACAAAAATCAACAAAGAAACATTAGCTGATGGCAATTGGAAGACCTTCAGATAGTCGAGCTCTAATGATGCCCGGCACTGCTCATGAAACTCCCTAGGAAGGCCCATGGCACTTGAAGTAGACGGAGAAAATTCAGATACCTAAGTACAACAATTCTTAGTCAGAAATTTCAGCAAAGATGTTCCAACTAAAGCAAAAAAAGTCGGCAACTAATATTAATATGGAAGTGATAATGTTTGCATGTAAAAAATACCAGAGATTCCAGGAAATTGATTCCACTAAACTGAACATCAAGACCATGGCTGCCAGTAACACACTGTTTCACCTGTAGCAGTATGCATATTAGTCATTCGACTCTCAGAAAATACTACATGAACTCCCACAAATAAGGTTTGGGCACAAAAACAACTAAACATACAGGCATGGAGAAGACTCCAAAGTGAGAGCCGTTGGGGTATCACCAGAAGATGCTAAAACCCCAGTAACCTCCAAAAATTAAATCAAGAACCATTTTGTTCAATAGATAAAAGGTGCTTTGCTAAGCTTATTGTCCATCACACACAAGGGTTTTGCAACTAAGGAGACACGGCAGCAGGGTTCAAGGTATCGACCAAGTCCGATACGACTCAGCCACCACCGATACGATAACAATATACGATACACAAATATCACAAGTCACATCTGTATCGGCGATAACTTGGTAATGACTCGGACATATCGGCTTAACTCGGAATCAACTCAGTTTGAGTCGGACAATTCATTTCGGAATCGGTCCGATATGGTGAAATCTTGTACAAAATTTCCAAAGTCTCAAACAAACTGGAAAATCTCCAATAAACAAAAGAAGGGTTGTAAAGATATGCAAGACATACCATAGAATCAAATACAAATAACAAAATAGCCCATCTTCTTCTTCACTGTGAAGTGCAAACCAAAGGCATGTAAGCAACGAAAGCAGAAACCCAACCCTAACCTCCTTCACAACTATTGCTGCTGCCTTCGTCGACTCTACTCCACTCACAAATTCTCCCTCTCTCTCTCTCTCTCTCTCTCTCTCTCTCTCTTTCTCTCTGTGTGGACTGAGTGGACAAAGCGTCTTCCAAACACAAATGGAGTCTTTTGAGACCCTTTAGTCAATGCTGCCAGAGTGTCAGTGGCCTAATTAATAACCGTCAGGCTTCTTTTGGTTTTTTACTTATTTAATCTCTGTTATGTTTTTAACTTGTAATTAATTTATTTTTTGTGGGTAATTTACTTTTAAGTACAATTTTGCCTAAGTTTAATTTGATTTACTCTTTGACATACCATGAGAATTGAGATATATATTTTTATTTTGATATGATATTTAAACCTACATATTAAAATTACAATTATCTACATTCAAATCATTATACATTTTATGTTTTTAAATATCAAATAATCTATTAATTAACTACTAATTTGAATACAAATAATGATAAATATTTTCAGTAACATTCTTCTATTTTATTTTCATTGTGGGTAATGATTTAATGGATAGATTGTGGATATATGATACATGAATGATGAAGTTTATATTTTTTAAAAATTTTCATATTTTTTTAAAAATTGTTGGGCCTTCTTTTAACTTTTTGAGCGTATTAGTCGATACCATGCCGCTACATCGCGACCGATGTATATCAGTGCCCTCCGAGTTGTTAACTCATAGCGCAACTTGAACCATAACTTCCATCCATGAAAGTAGAACTAAAAGGGACATTCTAAATGAAAATTGTGAACATTACACTCTCATATTGAATATCTAATCCAAAAATGAAGATAGATATAAAAGACCAAGGTATGAGGACAGCGAGGATGTAATAACAATTTATAACATAGCCTTAACATATGATAATTTTTGTGGAGTCACTACTCAGTTGCTTTAAAAGTAATGGTATGTGAACAAAATACGATAAACGATGCAACATTATGAAGTTACCACAAATAAACGAGGCAACATTATAAAATACGAAAACTTTAATCAGCATCCAAGAATAATCCCACAAGTTTGCACAAGTATCTGGATGTCATGGCTCTTGATTAGTTATAATTCAATGGATGTGTCCTAAAGTAGACCTGACAGAAAATTACTTCCATCTTATTTTCAACTCAATAAGTGACGCAAATCATGGGAGACAAGACGGAAGAGTATAACAAGAAAAAGAATAGGGAACTCATCCCAATTTCAAGTCATATGACCCATCATTTAGAGCCTTAGGCTCATGGCCAGTGGCCAGTGGCCCATGGCCCAAGCATAGGAGTAAGATCACTTTGACCAAATTGGCAATTATTACGTCAAATACTCGTCAAAATTGGGTGCTTTGACTATCAACTAATTACCATAGTTGTCAAATCGAGATTCATTTGGTGAATCAAAAATATTCCTTTCTCCAATCGAAAATCGAATGGGATCCGGAATTGTGGAACTCGGTATACAAATTAAAACATTGATTGTACATAAAATAGACATACATAGACTGGAAAACTTAAAAAAACCACAACCAAAAGAATTACACCATGGTATTATACAAGCACCACTATCCAAAACATACTAATAAAATAGCTTTCTAAGATTTGTGGACACAGTCTACACATTGCCAATAAATTTTATCAACATGATGAAATATTTTAAAGAAAAAAGAAAGTGATGGTTTCGCGAGAACGAGGTTTACGCTTTTGCAAACCAATTTCATCATCACAATAAACATTCTGTCACATAAACATAGTCATAAAAGAATTTACACCAAGATGAAACTTTTTATATCAGTTTTTTTAACTCTGTTAAAAAGGGTTTCGAGTTTTACAAATCTTGTTTTCCATATTGTAGTACAACCATCCATAGATATTTTTATACCTAATTTTCAATGTATCTATGTAATCACCATTATAACTATTTTTTTTTAATTCATCTTTTGCTTGCCCCTAAAAAAACCTCTTTCTAATGTCTACCTAAACTTGGAGTCAACCAAACATATTTTTTATGTCCTGTCCAAAAAAGCACCACTTGAATAAGCATTATCAGAAGGTAGCACATTTAATGCATTTCAGCATAGCAACCTGACCATTACCAATTCAGACATAATGTTCCTACATGAGATTATCACTCCACATCCCTCTCATTTACGAATCATTTGAATCAACACTCGGGAAAAAACACCAATGATATATAATAATTAAAAGGAAAGCACTTACTAAAATCTGGACAGCAGAGAAGAAATTACTGCACAGGTATTGGCAGAATAAAGTTACAACAAGACAATTATAAGATATTTGTGGGAGACATACTGATACCTCACAGAAAAATGCCTCCTTCCCAGCAGCTGTAAGATCTAGCCTACACAAAGAACACATAAGCTGCAACAGTTAGAAGGTCTTTTAGTTCCTCTTGAGTGGCTAACTAGGAGCTTTCTAAAACAAATTGAGAAGATTTCCTCATAACTATATTTAGTATTGTAATTATGACAAAAATCCAAAGACCATTAAAAGATCCCTCGCATGTTTGCTGATATATTACAAAAAGTCTTCAACATACCAAGTCTAACTAGAGAATCCAACTTAAAATCAATTGGCAATGAGTGAAGAAGCCACTCAAGTACATTAACCAACCCAATGTTATTTAAGGCATAAAGCAAATCGAAGCAACCAGGCTCCTAAAGCCTAGGCGAGAGCGAAGTGAAACGCTTTATCAAAGCGAAGCGAACAGATAAAAAGAAAAGTAAATATTTTAGTTTAATTACTTCTAAACATCTAAGTTCTAATTTTATATATACTAAATATTTAAATGCAAGTAAAATTATAAAAATTTAAATTAAAACAAATACTAATAATATCAACACTACTATCAGCAAAATAGCATTACAGAAAATTAGAATCATCAGCTATACAAAATCAGATGCAGAAAAAAAAACAGAAGCTGAAAAAAATAACAGAAGCAGAAGCAAAAAAAAATCTCATCAGAAAATCAGTAGAAGCAGAAAAAAAACAGAGTCAGCAAAATATGCATTTACAGAAAATCTCGGCGTCAAACAGCAAAAAGAAGAAGAGAAACAAAACCAGTGTGTGGACCAACGAGGACCAGAACCAGAAGCGAGAAGAAGAAAAAGAGAAGGAGACAAACCTATGTGTAGACCACCGAAGAAGGAGCAACAGCAGCAGTAGTCGTCGTCTCTGACCAGGAAGGAGGAGCAGCAGCAAACACTCGTCATTTGACCCTTTGAGCAAAATTAGGGTTTGGGTGTTGTATTTATGGGATAAGGGGGTAATTGGGTGTATGGACATCTTATAATTTTTTTTCAATTACCCCAATTCAATGATCCATAATAAAAATAAAACAATCCAAGACAACCTCGCCTCACATAACTAAGACACTCGCTTTCTCACCTTTCACTTAAGTGCAAGGTGCTCGCTTTTCTCGATTTTTCCTTGCTTCAGTCACATTCGCTTCGCCTAGGATGCTCAAGACGACAAACCTTCACTTCTCACCTAGGCAAGCTTTTCAAAACACTAAACCAACCTTAGGTGGTCCTATTAATTCGATGTGGAATACGAGCACTCTTTACACCTTCCTCAAGCGAGACCCGGGCTCACATGTGAAAATAACAAGCAAACAAATAAGCATGTATACAAGGAAATGCAAATGGACAAGAAACTTGGTTCTACGTCATATTTGCACATATGCACAATGTTTAAGCCATGCATGCCCTTATTTGTGTTTGCATGATATTCATTTCGTGTCGTCCTTATTTGAAATTTGCACGACGTTCGTCTTGTCCTTCTTGTGTTTGTACGATCTGTGAAACCCGGGAAAAATTTGAATTTTTTCTGAAAAAAAATGGCAAAATGGTAATTTGTCATCCTAATGCATATTTAAAATACATATTTTTATAGAGTTCGAATGGGACAATGGACCTCACTGTTGGATTCGCATCGCGAAACCTAGTTGCCCTGTCAATTTTCATCGAATTTCGAGATAGTCAAATTTTTCACATTTTTCGAGGCGAGAAACGTCCGGTGACCCCCAAAAACGAAATTTTAATAAAAATTTTGAAAGTTGAAAAATATTTTAAATAAAGTTCATATAAAATATTTTAAGCTTAAACCAGTACAAAATAAATCGTTTTGAGGTAAAAACGGACCTGAATCAGTGAGGGACACGTGGCACGACTCAGGCCAAGTATTGGAAAGTATAAATAGGGGCTAAATCAGATATTTTGCTGAAGGATCTCCGCATTTCCGTTGGTTCCAACGTGTGAGAGCAAGAGGGAGAGAAAAAGGGAGAAAACAAATCCTCCTTCGCCGATTCTCGGAGTTCCATCGCTCGAATCAACTCAGACCAAGAGCCAAAGTTCATCTCCTCGACGAGAGCTACGCGTACGTACCAAAAAGAGTGGATTTCACCGAAGATCCAAGAGGAGACTTTGGAAAAAATCAAAGCTTTGAAGTTGATTTGGTGTTATAGAAGTTCTTACACCTCTATTGAGGTAGGGTTCTCTCCTACCTTGGTTTTATTCTTACCTTAAGTGGGCTTTTAGTGGTTGAAATTGGTTTATATGTGGGTTGTCCAAATGGACTGTTTTGGTGCTGAAATTGAGGCTGTTTTGTGCACTAATTAAGGGTTGTTTTGTGCACTAATTAGGGGCTGTTTTGTGCACTAATTAGGGACTATTAAGGGGCTGAATTTGGGCTGTTAAAGGGCTGAATTATGGACTGTTTTTAGGCCGTGTTATGGACTGAAATTGTGACTGTTTTTGGACTGTTTTTAGGCTATTTTGTGGGCTATATATGGGCTGTTATATGGTGGTTTGTATAGGTTATTTTGTGGTTTAGATAAGAGCCGTTACGTGGGCTATTACATAGGCTGTTATGTGTTATATTATGCCTTAATGATTAGGTGTGTTATTAGCCTAAAAGTTGTGATATCACTTGCCTATGATTATGAAAGTGAAATTATGGACTTATGACATGATTTATGACTGAAAATGCAATTGTTGGTATATGCATGTTATGATATATTGAATTTGTGACAAATATAATATCTATATGCTTAGAATATAACTTATCATGATATGTTGAGATTGTTCATGTGTCATTCATAACATATTGAACATTGTATCATTGTGCATAGAGGCATCACACTCATGGGCATAAGTCATGAGTGTGGGTGTGTGAGATGCATGGTTGATCAAACACCTTGTTTGGTGGTTGGTATGTGGGTTCGGGAAAAAGTGGATCGAAGATCCCCTTTGAGTCGCATGGTTGTATGGAAGAAAACTTGTGTCGGGTATAGCAAGTAGGGCTAGACTCTCCCTCGGGTGCAAGACCCGGCGACTTGGTTATACACTCTCCTGTGATAAAATTCCAGAAAAGTGTAGTATGGTATACGGAACTGGCGGTATAAAATCCAAAATCCGTTGCCCAACAAGACACAAGATTTTGATTTATAAGAAAATACTCATTTAATGAGTACCATCCAATAATGATCTGATTTATAAAACGCATGACTTTTTATTCAAAGCGATCATTGGATGTATTTCTGTCGAAGACGGGTCATTACACATTGGCATTGCATTGTGTTGTCGAAGTCAGTGAGAACTTGGGTTTAAGTGCATGAGTGAGTATCATCTTATTTCATGGCATGACATGGTTGCATTTCAACATTGAATACATATTCTTGTATGAATGGTTGTTAAATGTTAAATGTTGCTTATACACATTGCATATGCATTTAAGGTAGGGAGTAGCCCTAGTAGGAGTTTTTCTCTACTGGGTGTTGGCTCACCCTATACGGGAAACATTTCAGGTACGGGTCATACGCCGAGGGACGGCACTTACTCGGGCACTTAAGGAGGAAGAAAAATCGACTTGTGGCTTTCAATCCATTTCTTTTGTAAAATTAGACTTATAATTAAATTTTTGGCATGTAATGTGTAAAGAAATTGTGATAGAATCTATATCGACTGTTTTAATATAATCTTGTATGTTTGTATGAATATGGATAATTAGACCCGGTGTGGCCAATGTTTACTTATAAATGGACCCGGTGTGGTCATTGTTGAATATAGGACCTCGGATGGGTCTTGTAATTATATAATACACAAGTTGTGTTTTGAGTAGAGTTCTCCTTACAAAGGAGACTCTGCCCAAATTTTTAATAAAGGATGGACCCCGGTAAATGAGACATAACGTTGAGATATCGAGTTACTCGGTATCCACAGGCATTCCGTGGGTTGATGAGTAATCAACGGACCCCCGGATTTTGGAGTGTCACACGATCAAGGAATGAAATATTCCAAAACGTTCGAATGTTTCTGATTCTCAACACACCGACACGAAACAAGGGTAGAAACAAAAAATTCTTACGTTTCGAACGAATCATCACAGTTTCATACCGTTTCAGACAAAACAATAATTTTTTGATCAAAACGGGGACTTATTCGACCGATTTTCAAAAAAAGAACAGATAGAGACAGAGACGAGCTCAGAAAATTGCATCAACTCAAAAAGGGGAGAGATTCTTCTCGTCATCCCCGTCTTCTGCAAAACATAAAGCGAGAGTAGAAATCAAAAGAAGGAGAAGGAGAAAAGTCAATAGCTTACCTGGGGTCCCTAAGTTAAGATCTGAGCATATCTAGACCACTGTTCACTCCTACAGTCCATATCGCGTCCAGATCTAGCTCCTCCAAGTACATCTTCTCCTTTTCTCTTCTTCTTCTCTCTTTCTTCCTTCTCTGCCGGTGGCTGTTGGGTCTTCATCGCTCAAATTTTCTTTATCTTTTCTCTCTTTCTTTCTCTCTCTCGATCGATCAATCGAGACGCACGCGTTGACTCAAATCCAAGCACCGACGATTTAATCCCCTGGTTTTTATTTTCTTTTAAATTTGTTAGTTTTCTTTAGATTTGTTAATTAACATTAATGCCCCCCTTTTTCCTTCTATAATTATTAAAAACCCCTACAATTAATAAATAGCTTATTATTGTTAATTAACTTATCATTATTAATAAATAACTGCCATTAATTTTATAGTATATTAAATATCTGAAATTAAGTATTTATGTGTGTATTTATGAGATCTTAACATTGTGTAAAAATGTGTTTGTTGGATAAAAATTAAGTGTTCGAAACTAATTGAAGTAATTTCTGCCTCGTGTAAAGCTTTTTTTTTTTTTAATCTAAGTAGATGTTATCTTGTATAAATGGATATTAACCCAATAAAAATGCTCAATTAATCAATTATTAAGCTTATCTTTATAAATAAATAGATTGTATTTGTGTTTCCATATTTTTTATAAGTTTTATTGCGTTTTTAAAACGTTTCCGTTTTCAAACTCACCGAAAAGGTACTCCGAAACAA